CTGAAACTATTGTTCTGTTTCACTTTTAGAAAACCTATTCTTAAATACTTATGTGGAGATGATTCCAACACCTAAGACAAACATCTGTCGTACACAAAATAAAAAGTGTGACTGTAACCTCAGTGTCCCCCCCCCCCTTTGGACACATACATTATGATTCAGTCATTAGTGATATGATCACATACTTAATTCTTGATGCCTTGCCTAATTGAAAGCACAGTGTGGTTCTGCTCTGCGAATGCCTGCACATTGGTGTGTGTGACCCGTCTGGTTTCCTGAAGATGTTTGGGAAGTGAATGAAGCAGGAATCTGCAGGAGAGAAAAGTACCTCATGGTTACAGACAGTGGATGATGCTGTCCTGAAGTTCTGGTGTTTATCTGCACATTTTTGGCTCTAGCTTTTCAGACAAAGCTGTTCCTTCCCTTTTGAGGGCTCAACTTTTGGTTCAGGGATCTGACCCTCAAATTCAGGCAATTGTTACTTTTTTGAAAACTGCAAGCAAAAATGTCTAAGATGTATATGCATGTATACACCCATACATATATACATGTATGAAACTGTTGGGATGGTGGTGTTTAGTTCTGTGTGTGTGCGTGATGCTTTTGTGGTTTTCCATTTGTGCCTGTTATGGTTGCAGCATAGGTACTATAGAGCGGTTGGACAGTGCGCGTCAGATACCAGCTATGATCTGAGAAAGTTCAAACATCTCTTGGTTCCTGTTTTGGAACATTTATTACAGAAAAACTGGTTTAATTTAGTAGCTCTACTTGCGTTTCAGGCTGTCTTATAGAAACATCTGGTTCTCTCACTGTTCTTGTGTTTCTGGTCAGTTACAGAAAATCAATGAAGAGCTAGTGAGGTCAGCGCTGCTTAAGATCTTACTATTTCAGTGAGGTTTCAGTGCAAAATTGAAGATGATAATTAGCCATTCAGTTAAATTTTTAGTGAGGAAGACTTGCATAAAGACAGTCTTATTCTCCTTGCTTCTTTCATGTAAACCCAGTGGGGGGATGGCTGCTGCTAGCTCTGGCTATCCACAACTGGTGATTCTGGCTAAAACACTTGATGACTCTTGCAAATATCTTTGCTTTTGTTCCTTCACTCCTGTGAAAGAGACGACTACTAGGTAGATCCACTGTTTATAGAGGCAAGAGAATTTGGGAAGATCCGTAGGGATTCAAAAGTACTTTCTGGATATTTTCTCAAGAAACTGTTAATTTGAGAAGATGAGAATGTAATCAAAATGCATACATAGGGGTTTTTTAATAGCTTTACAGAGGCTTATGATATCATTTGATGCTTAAGCTAAAATCAAAAAACTTGAAATCTTGCAGAAGACTGAAAATGGAGTAACCCTGTGTTTTGACTCAAAGAAGTAGCATTACATTTGTCCCTTCTGACTGTCTGTCTTTTTGTTCATGATACCATGATACCTGTAGTATTCTTTTAATATGACTATAGGAAGGTATGGAAAGTTGCTGTAAAGCCTAAAGGATTAGTTCCATTTAAATGATTTATATCAATCTTTTGGGCGATACAGGAAAGTGCGATACAAAAAACGATAAGTGATTTGAAGGGACTGGCAAGAGAGATTTTGGAACAAATGGGTTTGTAAGCTTAGGAAAAGATCTTGGAGAATCAGACCTTGTGGCAATAGTATAAATGAGTTGTGCAGTTAATAATAAAATGCAGATCTGAATTTTTGGACCAGTAAGGAATACTGAAGAGTTAAACAGAATTGTGAAGAACAAAGTGAAATAAATTGCTATTCAAATTTTTAGAAATTAATTCCGTCTCATTCATGATTATGGAAAACAGCTCAGTTAAATGTTCTTTGAAAGACTGTCTGTATAGATTCTGCCTCTTGATTGTCCTAAGAGAAGATGGTTGTTAATAAGGATTTTAATGTGAATTATGATCAATGGGAAGAGCATGTCGTGAATGAACTAAATGGGGCCATTTGTGAGGGTCTCCAGAAGTGGGAGAAGTGATATGTAGCAGATAAACATGAGATTAACATTGAGCAGAGGGGAGAGACCAACATCCTGAATTGTTACTAATAAGCACTAAGGAGTGAACATCAGCCATTCTTTGAGTTGAAAAAGGCAGGCAATTTACTAATTAAAAATAATTCATAAGGTGGCTTCTCTTTTTGTATTCTGCCTGTAAAATAATGTGCACAAGTGAAGCTTGGAGGCAAAGTAGCAAAGTGATCCTATGTAAGGAGGATTTTAGAGTTCATTGCCTTAATGCTTATGCTCCTTTTAAAAGTGTTGTTTTGCTCCTTTCCATCTCTGTGTATACCTGCAAAAGATGAAAAAAATCTTTTTTTGCAAGACTCAGTGTTAAGTAATGGAAATAAAAGATATTACCATTTCTCCCATTACCCTAACTCCTATTAATGAATACAGCGTATGATGTACAGTGCTTTAAAGCCTGAATGAATACTATGTTCAGCTGAAACTATGGAGATGAGATGAACATAGGTAGAATGTACTATTCTTTATTTTGTACATGAAGTACTTCCTGTTCTCATCGTGCTTTTTATACACTAAAGTCATAAGATACTAGTAAAGCGCTGTTCCTTTTCCCTAATTATGCAGCACAATTGGAAATTGTGGGCAAATCTCCTAATCTCCATAGTGACAGCAGAACATTTATCTAATTAGTAGTTTGCCTTTTGGCATTACTTTGAGTAAATTAGCATTTCATTAGATACCCTGGGCTACTGGGAAAAAGTTTCCCAGAGTAGTATTTAGTGTTTCTTCTCAAGAGTGTATTCTGAATTAGCATAGGTTAATGATATCCTTTGTAACTGGAAAGACACAGAGTAATAATACTGTTGTTATTCTTAATATCAGAGGGCTGCGCTTGGAGGTGCTTTGCTTTCTTTAATCCTCAGGAGCCAGAGTAAAAACTTAGTCACCTTATTTGATGACTTGCTCATTCCTCAGGGGTAAAAAAAGGAGGGGGAAAAAAAAAAAAGTGGAACAGGTTTGAAATACAACCTCCTACCTCCACCCTTTCCCTTCCTCTAGAGGATGAACTTCCCTTTTGGATTGCAAACAGTGCAAAGCATAGTGGTGAGGACTAACCCAGAAGTCATGCTCTATCACTTGCTAATTATAAATGAGCTCTTCTGCAGTATTTCCAACACAGCTGATCCAGAATAATCAAAGACTATTTGTATTCTTTTGTTGCGTATATAAATCAGTGGTAGGAAACTGGGTGACTAAGTTTTGGTGCCGACTGCCAGATAAGAAGTGTGGGTGCTTATCGTGCTTTCCAGAACCATAACTTTGATGGAAAGTTAAAAGAGGTAATTCATCAAAGATGGATTCTCATTGGTTTTCTTTCCTAGTGTTAAAAAGAGCAGAAAGAAAAATCCATGTATGTGATAAAGGGTTGCAATTTCCTTTCCTTGAGTCATTGGCTGTTTCAGACCCTTCAAAGAGTCATTGGCTGCCGCCTGTGGCAGAGGATCGGTATGAAGTATGGTGTTAAATATTCTCCTTTTCCCAAAGTGGCCTTTGCATTTACATTTGTACCACCATTTACATTTACACTGCCGTTGTCGCAGTTGCCTTTTGGTAGATGGAGGCATGTAAAGGACCCGTCAGTTGTTTTGCCAAATCCAGAGGAATGAAACATCTTCTGACTGCTTGGCTACCAGGCTGGATTTTGTATCTAGTAGCACAACGCATCTGGAGCTTACAGTATTTGTGAACTTGGAACCAGTTACAAAAGGGACCCCCAGTGTGGTGTTGACACATGAAGGTCCAGAGTAGCCTGTCCAGCTGGGCTCAGTGACGGCAGTTTCTCTGCTTCTGGGCTGGGTTCTCCGAGCAGATGGTCACTTACCTTTCTGGTGGTGAGGCAGGACAACCATGTACTTTCACCTGCCCTTTGGTAGGTGTTTTCTTGTTTCCCTGCCCTGGGAAGGCTTTTTTCCTCATTTCTTGTGATTTGGCACTGGGTTATCTCATGGTGAGAGAGGAGCTCATGTTACTTTCTAGCTCTTCCCTCGGGCATCTTAAGTTACCCCTCTCGATCTGGTAATTATTTTGTATTCCTGTGCAATGAGTCAGCCACAGTTTTGGGGTGGATCTTCCTAGATTTTCTGCTGTGACGAGCTCCCTGTAAAAAAAACAGGAAACTAATTTTCTAACTTTGATCAAATCTGGCTTTTTTTAACAACAAATGGAACAATTAATGGAAAACTTGAAGATGAGGGAAGACAGGATGGAAATAAAGAGGGTTTATTAATAGCTCTTTCCCTCTTCAGCGTCATTGCAGGCAGGTTCCTGCTTTCAGGTGTGGTCCTCGGTTACCTCGGTACCCTTGTAGAAAGTTCGTATGGGTGTCCAGTCCTCCCTCCTGGTGCCTGGGAAAGTCTTCCCTGCAGCCACTGAAGCCGGTTAGTGCCTGGCCCTAAAATGACAACGGCAGAAAATCTGGGTCTTGGTTGACTGCACTCCCCCTTGCTGCAGAACCCCAACTCTTGGCCGCCACACCTTGCACTGTCCCTTGGCTGTATCCTTCCTCATAGGGGATGTTCAGCAGCTCACGAAACAGCTGCTTCTTCCTTCCACCTCCATCCAGAGGCCCAGAAACTCTACTTAAATGTACTGTAAATGTTCTCTCTAAGAACAGAGAACAGTCGGTCATATCCTAGATATACATTTGAATTAACTTCTCTTTCCTTATAGGATTCTGAAGGCACTGTGATAAAACCCTTTAATCTCCTTCTACATGTTCAAATAAATTTCTCTTGTGTTTGTTAGTTGCGTTGATATTGTTGTTACTGAGCACGGTCTAGTGAATGTGGATTTGGGACTGCATAAAATTGCCAAACAGCCCCCATTTTCTTATCCACACCCGACATATGGTTTGTTTTAGGGAGATCTTGTCTGAGGACCTGGAAAATGTGAAGGCGATGTTAGAGGTATGTTAGAGAGAATGACTGCTGTAATCTAATGATCTGAATTTTGTTCTACAGCTTGATGACTGCACCCTGCAATTGTCTCACAATGGTACCTATCTGGATCTCGAATCCACCTTAGCAGAACAAAGAGATGAATTGGAAGGCTTCCAGGAGGATGCTGGGTAAGTAAATGTTTGCTAAATTTAGATAAATAGGCATATTTTTCCAGAAGCATTGAGGTTTCGGGAGTATATGTGGTTAACTTGGTACATTCAGGTTAGCATAGGAACAGAAAAAATAGAATTCTTTCCTCTGTATGCATGTATGTCTCGCCCTTTCTGTGATTAAGAATTTTATGACGTCTCTATCTACATTCACTCTTACAGTTTCTCTAAAAGAAGACGGCATACTGTAAGAAAACTATCAAGATGAATGTGTTGACTAGTTAATAAATTTTTATAGTTCTTTTGAACTTGATAAATGCGGGTGGTTTGTTCTGAGAACTCTGAGGTCTTTCTTATACCATAGTAGTCAGTGTAGGAGATTATATTGGGGTGGTGCTCCTGAAGTTATAAACTTAATTTCTTTGTGCCTTGAGATTTAAGTCCTCCTTTTATATTCTTGGAGAAAAAGACCTGTACTGATTTCTTTTTTACTCCTGGAATATTGATTTAGCCAGCCTGGTGTGTGTGTGTGTGTGTTTTGTTGTTTGAACATTCTCTTCTCTTGCCTTTTTTTTTTTTTTTTTTAATTATTGAGGGCACACATGGATTGCTGTGTCACAGCTTTCCATAAACCATCTCTGATGAGAACTGAGAGTGAAAACAAAAGTTAGCATCAATGTGTGTCTGTGTGAATGCACATACAAAATTTGCTTTTTAGAAGACTTTTTCTAGGCCTTTTAGGTGATTGTCTTGTTTTAGATATGAAATGAACAGACAGTCTAGAGCTATTTGTGCCTTGCTGCTTGCTATAATGGACTGGATAGTTGTAATTAATTTTATGGGTGCGTTTTGGCATGGGCTTCGTGCATGTGAGTAACGTAGCTGGGCCAGAAGGAAATTAACTGCATTCTGAATTGGTCAGGGCTTGTTAACACTAAGAGATGCAGCCCTTTTGCTGATACTGGTTTCTCTACTTTTTGTGACAGCTGTCTTGCCTTTGATTGATGAATATTTCTTACAAATTTAAACTGTGCCTCTGGAGATTATGTGGACAAGAATTTTAAATATGTGTGCATTTGTGTATGTCTTCATACATACCAATTTTTGGGCATGTTTTTACTATTGGAAAATAAAGAAACTGTTCTGTTGGAAATTAAATTAGTTAGAAGAGAGTTCCTCAATAGACAGAGTAGCCAATACAGCTAAACTGAGCCTCCCTTCCTATGCAATAGGAGTGTTGAGTGTAGCAGTCGATCTAGTGTTCAGTTTTATGCAGAGGTGATAAAAATTGTTGCAAAGAACATCAAGTTTGTATTTCCAGCTAACTTTTTTATTAGTTGAAAGCAAGTAAGATGAAGGAAAAATCTTTTCTTTTTATAGTTGTTTGTAGTAGTATGTGTGAGTTTGTCAAGTCACGCTTTCTTTCCCTTCCATTGATGTCTGCATGATAATTCTAGTAATTTTCACTTCATTGCTTTTGATACCCCACAATAGCATTGCCACGCAATTCGGCAAGCCAGGGATGACTTGGTATTTTTCTTGCCAGATTTTGCGCTTGAAATGGCAAGCTACCTTCCACCTTGTTTTAATTTCTGCTTCCTTTGGGCACATAAAATCAATGATACGAATTGTTCCTGAAACGCGATTCTAATTTTCTCTGTGGTGCCTATCATAGGGGAAAAAAACCCTCAACGCAAAACATGTGGAACTACCTGTGCTGCTTGGAATTTCACGTCTACTGTGTTGTTCTGAGCTCAAAGATCAGGTTATGTTTTTATGTACTTTGCATGCGTGTGCAGGCCTCCTCTTAATTGCGCAATCTGTTGTCAGTTGAGTAAAGTAAATTGCTTCTTCCAATGGCTTGTCCTGCCAGGTAATGTGAAGTCTGCTGGGAAGTCCTTCATTCCTCTGCAAAGATGAATAGGGAGGTATGAAACTGGGTGTACTAAGGTGCATCACAAAAGCTTGGGCTACAAATTATTATTGTAATTATCTTTTGCAGTGGGTTTTGTGAAACGAAAGAGAACAACTGTTGTGTCTCACCTTCACTGGTCTTTGCCCTGTTCTCTGAAGTTGCCCCTCTGGTAACTGTGGGCCGATACGAAGTGCTGTGTTTTCACGTTTCGGCTGCCTGCCTTGGGTGCAACGCCAGGACAGGCTGTGTTAGATGCTGCCATTGTAGCTGTTGTGACCCATTTTCTTTGATGTCTTCCTACTACAGTCCTCCTTCAGACCCTGCTTTCTTACCTTCACGATAAATTACGTAGGTGGTGTTAGTTGAAAAGGCTGAAGTGAGAATGGAGAGAAGGAAGAATGAGGGGGGTGTTGGGGAGTAAATCAGGTACGGGTCAGGCAGAAAATGAAGAAAGTAGCTTGGCAGGAAAGGATCTGACGGTTTTGGGAACTGCGAGCTGAAAGCAAATCAGTGGTTATGGTGTTGTGAAAAAGGTAAGGGGCATCCTAGGGTGTGGAGCAGGAATTTAGCCAGTGAAGTGCAATGAACTTGGTGTCTTCAGTACTGGTGAGGACTCACCTGGATTTCTGTATTCCATTTTTGTCCATATTTTGTGAGAGAATGGGAGGATGATGAACAAGAACAACCAGAACTTCAGAAATCTGTGCCATAGCTTCCCCCTATGACTTAGTAACGTTGTCACTTCAGGGTAAATGCAACTTGTGTGATGTTATCCAGAAAAAAGGAATATTCTGGACATAGGGTAGCAAGTGCAGTCAGTAATGTCTCTCTCCGTCCCAGGTTTCTAGCAAACTAAACTCTGTTTTTTGGTCTTGCAGCTCTGATCTTTTGCCCCTGCAGAGACCAAGGTGCTGAGCTGAAGTGCTCCCGAGCTGGAGCTGCTGGCTGTAGACGTTGGGTGCTTAGCAGCAGCCTTCTGTCTGGGAGCGACTGGCCGCAGAAACCACTTAGTCTCTCTCTTTCTCTCTGGGTCATTTCAAGGTCCTGCTCTTAATCTTCAAAGCTTTTAATTTTCTGAGATTAAGCTTCCTCAGGACCTGCCTTTTTGCCATGCTGAGGCTGTTGTGCTCATCAGGGTCACTGAAGCTTGCTGAATTCTGAATGAAGGATTTAGTAGCTGGATATTCATGGCATTTTTTAAATTTTAGATCCTCGACTGTGGAAACGCCTATTAAGAGTGACCAGAATGTCCTGCAGTCTGGCTGTGTTCAGCATCTTTTTGCCAAATGTTCCTGTTTGCCCAGGCAAAACTATGAAGATTTTTATTTTTCAATACACTGCTGAAAGGATTTTAAATAAATAAACAAACCATGCAGGAGACACAATGTTACAAATTTTTATTGGTGTGAGAGGCTGCAGGTGTCTGTTTCATCTTGGAAGGATTGGATGAGTATAGTGAAAAATGAGAAGGATTTTTCTTCAAGAAGAAAGAAGGGGATGGTGGCAGTTAGGCTGGAGGTTTATGATGTGTATCTGTAAATAACAGGTATAAGAAACACATGCACTAATACACAACTTCAAATGAATCCTCTTCTGTTACTGAATATAATGAAAAGAGGCTTTTAGTAGTTGCTGTCCGCTCCAGCAGAATCTAAACTTCTGTTTAGGGAAGAAGAAGAAAACCCAACACATGTGCCCTCAGCCTGTAGAGCTAACTGAGCAAAACATGGACAGGGATGGGACTCTCTTCCTCTGTCCACAGCTCTCGCTGCTGCCATTTGCACCTTTGGGAATAGCTCTGGGATTCAGGAGAATTGGATTGTTTTTATATGGTTGTTTTTTGGGAGGACAGTCAGCATGAACAGTTGGCCAAGCAGTGAGGCTGGCCCTGCAGAAGGTGTCACAACCGGGAATTGGATCAGTAAGAGCATGTAGGAAAAGTGCCTTTCTGTTCAGGTCTGGCATGTATTCATGGTTTGTTTGCTTGTTGTTGTTGGGGTTTTTTGTTTGTTTTGCAAAACACCCCCCCCCCCCGCTCTCAACAGAAGTTACTTTGTGGAGGCTTAATTGTGTAAGGAGGTAATGTGGAGGTAGTTTACGTGGGCTGGCTGTTTTGTTAAGGTGCCTGTGACAGGTAATGCTCTTTTCCTTTGTTTACTTGAGATTTTATAGAGCGAGCAAGAATTGTCAAGAAATTTATGTTTTTAAATTACCATATAATTGCCCAAGTTCTTTTTATGGGCATGTCTTAACAGGCCCTAATGATAGCCCACAAGGTAACGCAGTCCTAAATCACAGAACACAAAAGTTTCTTCAGACAGCACTCTGTAAGCAATGGAGATTTCCTGAGGGAATACGTTTTCAAGACTTCTGTTCAGCAGAAAGATTGTTTTAAAGTACTTCTGACAAATCACTTCAGTGCTAATGTTTTTGCATTCCTTCTAGACACCCTGTCCCAAGCCATTTTGGCTAGGTGAGTCCCATTTAAGTTAGAAGCCAGACCTTTTCCCTCTTGATGCTGCTGTTCATTCCAAGCTTGATTTGGAACCTGTTGAAGGCAATGGAGTCTGGCAGGGATCTTTAATATTCTTTTCCTGCTTATGTACTGTATTTTTTAACCGCTTAGACTTTGATTAGCACAATTGTGAGAATGAAAATTTTTCGTCACTTTTTTACGTGGGGAAGTTGGGGATGCATTATAAGGTTAACCTCGTTTTTGTCTAATAAAAATGATGTGGCTCATTTCTTGAAGCAGTACTACCAACTAGCAGAATCTATGTTGATTTTGTATTAGTTTGAACAGAGTGTATTTGTATTAGTTCACTGTTGGAAAACTTTCTTAACTTATGATAGCTTTCTTTCCATGTTTTGTCTTGATGTTGTTTCCATGTTTCTCAGTTCCAACAGCAAGAAAAATAAGGGAGGTGCCTGTGAGAGATTGTCATGGTGTTGCTGCAGACAGTAGAGACTGTGACTGCTTATTGCAATGATTTACTCATGTTTTGAAAAATGTATTAGTCCACCTGAATATTTTGATTTCTGTGATATTTAGTTAGTATTCTGTCCAAATGCTGAATCTGAGAAATGTAATGGATGGTCGCAA